ACTGGAGCGGGTCCATGACACTCTGAACTCACAGGAAGTGGACTGCCACTGGGTGTCATTCAGCCTGGAAGAGGAGTATTGGCCTGGACTGAAGGACAGCACTGGAGTGTGACATTGTGTGCACACCAGCTCTATGAGACTTCCCCCTGAACTAGAACTTGTGTGCAGGTCTGTGGGATGATGTATTCCCCCACGGGGGTGGGTCCATGACACAACTTGTGTGCACACCAGCTCTGTGAGACTTCCCCCTGAACAGGGGCGGACTGACCATTTGTAAACTCGGGCACTGCCCGAGGGCCCGGGATCAGTAGGGGGCCCCATGAGATGCCCCTGGTACCTTTTCCATAGGCTTTTTTGAGTTTGGGCAAGGACACAGGGGCCCCATGAGTTGTCAGTCCACCCCTGCCCCTGAACTAGAACTTTGGAGAAAGATCTAGAAGCAGTGGGCGAAGGTAAGGAGAGGCTGATCTGTACTTTTGAGGGATCCTGGCCAATCCCCTACAGGAAGCTTGGCAAGGAGCCAGGATGACCCTTAAAAGTGAGAGAGCCTGCTCAGCAGTAGGAGAGTTCTGGTGGAAGATAGAGAGGATGTGAGGCTGGAGAGAGGAGTCTGGGAGAAGGCCCAGATGGAAAGGGACTCACTTATAGGCAGTGGAGCTTGAAAGGAAGAAAACTCAGGACCTTCACTGGTCCCTAGAGTGAGGACCACCTGTGTAGCAGTGAAAGAGGGGCCCAGGAACATAGAAACTGTCTTTTGCATTCTTCTTCCATGAACCCAGGTCTGTGGGATAATGTATTCCCCCATGGGGGCGGGTCCATAACACCCTGAACTCACAGGAAGTGGACTGCCACTGGGTGTCATACAGCCTGGAAGAGGAGTATTGGCCTGGACTGAAGGACAGCACCGGAGTGTGACATTGTGTGCACACCAGCTCTATGAGACTTCCCCCTGAACTAGAACTTGTGTGCAGGTCTGTGGGATAATGTATTCCCCCACGGGGGCGGGTCCATGACACCCTGAGCTCACAGGAAGTGGACTGCCACTGGGCATCATTCAGCCTGGCAGAGGAGTATTGGCCTGGACTGAAGGACAGCACTGGAGTGTGACATTGTGTGTGCACACCAGCTCTGTGAGACTTTCCCCTGAACAGGGGCGGACTGACCATTTGGAAACTCGGGCACTGCCCTAAGGCCCGGGGTCAGTAGGGGGCCCCATGAGATGCCCCTGGTACCTTTTCCATAGGCTTTTTTGAGTTTGGGCAAGGACACAGGGGCCCCATGATCCCCTATTGCCCGTGGGCCCCATGAGTTGTCAGTCCACCCCTGCCCCTGAACTAGAACTTTGGAGAAAGATCTAGAAGCAGTGGATGAAGGTAAGGAGAGGCTGATCTGTACTTTTGAGGGATCCTGACCAATCCCCTACAGGAGGCTTGGCAAGGAGCCAGGATGACCCTTAAAAGTGAGAGAGCCTGCTCAGCAGTAGGAGAGTTCTGGTGGAAGTTAGAGAGGATGTGAGGCTGGAGAGAGGAGCCTGGGAGAAGGCCCAGATGGAGAGGGACTCCCCTATAGGCAGTGGAGCTTGAATGGAAGAAAACTCAGGACCTTCACCGGTCTCTAGAGTGAGGACCACCTGTGTAGCAGTGAAAGAGGGGCCCAGGAACATAGGAACTGTTTTTTGCATTGTTCTATGAACACAGGTCTGTGGGATGATGTATTCCCCCACAGGGGCGGGTCCATGACACCCTGAACTCACAGGAAGTGGACTGCCACTGGGTGTCATTCAGCCTGGAAGAGGAGTATTGGCCTGGACTGGAGGACAGCACCGAAGTGTGACATTGATGAGTAATACATTTAAAGACAAATCCATGGCCGTGGGCTGCAGTTTTCTCCATACAGATGAGGGAACATACGTGGGAAGGTTATTGCTGCTTTTATCAGAAAAAGTACATTTGATGGTTGTTTTCCTGTCAGATTTCTTCTGTCATTTCAGGCCGTTTATATGCGGACTCGTCAGTGTAGGCAGCTAAATGGCCTTCTTCACAGAATAATGTTTTCTGACCTTTAAAAACCACAGATGGCAGCAAAGCACTGAAAGGAGGAGCACCGTGCAGGAGAGTATTGGATGAAACAGGAAACGCACAAAAGGAACGCAAAGGTGGACATAACTTACACAGGTCGCTCAAATTTCACGTGTTAGTAGAGTAACTCTTCCTCTCTACAAAGGGACCGCTCCGCAGTCTCCATCCCAGGTACACATGTGTGATTGGCTTCGCGAGGAATCGAAATTCGGGCAACATTTTCATTATTCAGTGAGTCAGATGGATCCGAATTTCCGAATCACAACAGTAACACATTTCAACACGTCCAAAATAAATTATAACCAAACGCATTATCCGAATTCAAATTTAAAAATTAATTCAAATCCGAACATGCACTCAAATTCTAAATAGAAACATTTTGCAATACATACAGTAAGGAATAAAAATGAAGTTGGATGATGATTCCTACTTAGGCTGCTTTATAGAATGGTCTCCATGTCCTGCGGTTTCGGGACAACCACGTTCCAGAGAATCAAGGAGAATGACACCCTTGTCATCCCACAAAACAGTCCCCAAGACTTCTGTGCTGATTGCTGGCTCCTGAACTTCTTAGGCCTTGAGGAAGAGGCGTGACGCCATTCCCTGGACTGATTCTTCATTTCTGGATTATAAAGATATACCAATCCTTTATCCCGTCATCAGATCGGCAAAGAATGTGTCTTCATTGGCACCAAACCCTTCCAGCAGATCAAGGCAGACTTCAACCCTTCTCTCCAAATCTGGTGTCCCCACTTTTCCGATCCCCAAAGTCTTCCACCATCTTCTGTATAGGATTGTGACTCGTCTGTCCGTGTGAATCTGTTCGGCCAATCGATGACAATTCGTGTCAGTGGTCACAGTTGACGTTGTCCCACTTTGTTGTTTGTCTTCAGTGCTGCTCTTCCATTCTTCCAGTCTTCATCCATCTGTCCACATTGCTCTTCTCAATGGTGTCATCTCCATAAACATTTTGTGGCCTTCTGTGGATGTCAGACAGCCTGCACCTCTGATTCGTCAAGAACTGGCTGATCGAGGAGGGCATAGCTTCCAAAGTGGCGAAGTTGGTGGAGGGGGATTGGTGTCCACCCTCAGATGATCCTCTTTGGAGAGAAGAAGGTGTCTGGAGGAGTCTGGAACCCTGTTGCTAAAGGAACCCCCACCCTAACCCAGGGCTTGACTTATTCGCTTTGAATCTAGGAGCCAGCTGAGAAAGTTAGGAGCCAGGTTTTTTTGACTGGCAGGGCTTTGTCTTCAGGTGGCCAATCGTTGATCTCTAGAGGGGGTCACTGATAAAAGGGGACTCTGATATAATGGAGGTTCTCTAAGGGGGGAGCAAATATGAAGAGACTCTGATCTAATTATGGGGGGGTGTTAATTTAAAGGCACTGTGAGGGGGCAGGTCTGTAAGGGGGGGTTCTGATACAAAATGACTCTGATATAATGGGAGGTCTCTAAGGTGGTGATGCTGATATAGGGGGACTCTGAACTAATGGGGGGGTGCTGACTTCTGACCAGCAGCAGTCAGCACCTCCCCTTAGAAACCCCCATTAGCTCACAGTCCCCTTATATCAGTGCTCCTCTCCCTTAGAGACCTCGATTAGATCAGAAAGACCCCCCTTTTATCAGCACCTTAGATTACTGTACCGGCCAGACTCAGGAGCAGCTGCAAGCCACCAAGTGTCTGAAGCTGGGAGCTAGAGTTGAAGGGCAGAATGGGAGGTGGAGCAGCTGTGGCTCTAGGGCCCTCCCCTCATACACTCCTCTTAACAGTGCCCCCTCCTTATACACTGTTCACCCTTCTCTGTTCCTGTTGGTGGGGCCCCTGGGGTGTCTCCTCTCACCTGGGGAGTAGAGTTTGGCCAGCTCCCAGGCCTTAGCATGCTCGGGCCAGGTCACTCTCTGTCAGAGCCTGGGTCCGAACCTGGCCCTTCTGTGGTGACTGGCAATGTTTCTTCTTGCTGAGCCACCTGGAATGCTGGACAGCTCCCTTGACAATTTGGATGATCCTACCTTGACCTTGTTTGTCATGAACCTTGAACCCCTTGCTCCTCCCATGAACTTCCTGATATAAGCCATGTCTCTGCACTTCCTGTTTGCCAGATTATTGTGCTCTCCAGCCAGTATCTCGCTCCTTATCTTCTCTGCTGTTATCCGTATTTTGCTACCACACGTTATTGAACCCTTGGCTTGTTCCCGACTACGCTTCTGCCTGATCCCAACCTCCGACTGCTCATTACCGACCTTGGCTTGTTCTCGACTACGCTTCTGCCCGATCCCAACCTGCGACTGCTCCTTACCGACCTTGGCTTGTTCTCGACTACGCTTCTGCCTGATCCCAAACTGCGACTGCTCCTTACCGACCTTGGCTTGTTCTCGACTAAGCTTCTGCCTGATCCGAGCCTGCGACTGCTCCTTACTGACCTTGGCTTGTTCTCGACTACTCTTCTGCCTGATCCCAACCTGCACTGCTCTTTACCGACCTTGGCTTGTTCTCGACTACGCTTCTGCCTGATCCGAGCCTGCGACTGCTCCTTACTGACCTTGGCTTGTTCTCGACTACTCTTCTGCCTGATCCCAACCTGCGACTGCTCATTACCGACCTTGGCTTGTTCTCGACTACTCTTCTGCCTGATCCCAACCTGCACTGCTCTTTACCGACCTTGGCTTGTTCTCGACTACGCTTCTGCCTGATCCCAACCTGCGACTGCTCCTTACCGACCTTGGCTTGTTCTCGACTACGCTTCTGCCTGATCCAAACCTGCGACTGCTCATTACCGACCTTGGCTTGTTCTCGACTACGCTTCTGCCTGATCCCAACCTGCGACTGCTCCTTACCGACCATGGCTTGTTCTCGACTACGCTTCTGCCTGATCCCAACCTGCGACTGCTCCTTACTGACCATGGCTTGTTCTCGACTACGCTTCTGCCTGATCCCAACCTGCGACTGCTCCTTACCGACCATGGCTTGTTCTCGACTACGCTTCTTCCTGATCCCAACCTGCGACTGCTCATTATCGACCTTGGCTTGTTCTCGACTACGCTTCTGCCTGATCCCAACCTCCGACTGCTCATTACCGACCTTGGCTTGTTCTCGACTACGCTTCTGCCTGATCCCAACCTGCGACTGCTCCTTACCGACCTTGGCTTGTTCTCGACTACGCTTCTTCCTGATCCCAACCTGCGACTGCACATTACCGACCTTGGCTTGTTCTCGACTACGTGTCTGCCTGATCCCAACCTGCGACTGCTCATTACCGACCTTGGCTTGTTCTCGACTACGCTTCTGCCTGATCCCAACCTGTGACTGCTCCTTACCGACCTTGGCTTGTTCTCGATTACGCTTTTGCCCGATCCCAACCTGCGACTGCTCCTTACTGACCTTGGCTTGTTCTCGATTACGCTTTTGCCCGATCCCAACCTGCGACTGCTCCTTACTGACCTTGGCTTGTTCTCGACTACGCTTCTGCCTGATCCCAACCTGCGACTGCTCATTACCGACCTTGGCTTATTCTCGATTATGCTTCTGCCGGATCCCAACCTGCGACTGCTCATTACCGACCTTGGCTTGTTCTCAGCTACGCTTCTGCCCGATCCCAACCTGCGACTGCTCATTACCGACCTTGGCTTGTTTACTGACCATGCTTCCGTTTGATCCTTACCTGTTTATACACTACTGGACCTCCGCTTGCTCACCTCCTGGTGGGGTGATCCTGAGGACTGTGACCTGGTACTAACACGCAGCCAAATCCATCTCCACCATTTAGGAGCTCTGGTGAACACTGGTTGGTACTTAGACTTTGCACCTCGGGTGATCCCACTCCTCCGCCACAGTGACCTGCCTGTGTACCTATCTTGCTGGTTTCAGGTAAGCCTTTCCACTGCTATAGCAACTGGTCGTTGAGCTTGACCCCTGATTGTGACACTCTCAGTCATTGGGCAGTGCCATGGCTCACTGTCAGCTCCTTTATGCGCCATCCTTGCCATCTTCCTGGTCAGCCAATTGGAGAAGCCATTGTCCCCAGCTCACTTCCTGATCAGAGGGAGGGTCAAAAGGGGGTGGGAAGCTCCGGCCAATGGAGAGGGAAGAGGCTAGCAGGCTGCCCAATCATCCCTCCCTTACTCAAGGTAGGCATGTGATACGCGGCCAATGGAGGAGAGTAGGTGAGGAGCTGGGTTGGCAGGAGCCTGGGTGCCGGGACTCAATTTTCGGCTGCCATGGTGAACTGGCACCAGAGATTTGTCTAACCTCATCTCAGAGCAATAAAACTTGGAAAAGACTTACGTGACTGGTGCCTTTCATTGTCATGATGATCTCCACTGTGGCCATGGATCCACCCTGGGGTAGTGACAACCCTCTCTCTGAGCCGGAGTCAAGTCAACCCTCTACCCCGACCAGGAGGGGCGCTACAATGGCATAAAACACCAATACTGGAGCTTTAGGTCACAGAAACTTGGGAGAATTTTTTTTTCAATCTGGAGAAACAAGAGCCGTCTTTTCAGTCATAACACCATTGGGATTCGGTGATGGTGACGTGTGCCCCGTCCTTTCATGTGGAGAGCGAATTGTAATAATAGGCCTGCTTTAGTTTTATGTGTAACCGCTAATTAACGGGACATTAAAGACGATGAGAATTCATCTGTGAATAGCGATGTGATGCCGCCTCTTCCTGCCGCTGAAATGGAACAATTTTGTGTCACGTGAAGTCATGATGTATCCATGAGAGAGATTCAGCTGTATCGTCTTATCATCGAACATCTGAAGTATATGATGACAGTTCCATTCAGATCCTCTACACCTCTGTGTGCTGGCCCAGCTCCTTCACCCCCCCCAGGCGTGCTGTCATCTCTTCTGTACCCTTTATTTGCACTGCTAGCTTTCTTTTCAGCTCTCTGTCTTCGTGAGACCCTTTTCTGCTCCTTCACATTTCTGTTTCAATATTTTAAATTACATTTTAAAGCTACATAGTTAGTCTGGCTGAAAAAAAGACAAAAGCCCATCCAGTTCAACCATTAAAAAAAAAAAAAGCTATAATCCTACACCCACACAGTTGACAAAAAAGAAGGCAAAAAAAACCAGCAAAGCACGATCCAATATGCTCCTGCAGGGGAAAAAATTCCTTACTGATCCACATTAATGGCCATGGTAAGAAAAGGTGGTGGTGGTGGTGGGGGGGAACTCCATAATAATGGCCATGGTAGGAGAAGTTGGGGAAAAAACTTAATAATATTGGCCATGGTAGGAGAAGTTGGGGGGGGGGGCAACTCCATACTAATGGCCATGGTAGGAGAAGGTGGGGAAAAAACTTAATAATATTGGCCATGGTAGGAGAAGTTGGGGGGGCAACTCCATACTAATGGCCATGGTGTAAGAGTGGGATGTCCTACAAGATTACAAAGGTATGATGATCAAGGTAGGCAACTCCATAATAATGGCCATGGTGGTAGGAGAAGGTGGGAGGGGGAGGGGCAACTCCATAATAATGGCCATGGTAGGAGAAGGTGGGAGGGGGAGGGGCAACACCATAATAATGGCCATGGTAGGAGAAGGTAGGAGGGGGAGGGGCAACACCATAATAATGGCCATGGTAGGAAAAGGTGGGGAAAAAACTTAATAATATTGGCCATGGTAGGAGAAGGTGGGAGGGGGAGGGGCAACTCCATAATAATGGCCATGGTAGGAAAAGGTGGTGGAAAACTTAATATTGGGCATGGTAGGAGAAGGTGGGAGGGGGGGGGGCAACTCCATACTAATGGCCATGGTGTAAGAGTGGGATGTCCTACAAGATTATAAAGGTATGGTGATCAAGGTAGGCAACTCCATAATAATGGCCATGGTGGTAGGAGAAGGTGGAAGGGGGAGGGGCAACTCCATAATAATGGCCATGGTGGTAGGAGAAGGTGGAAGGGGGAGGGGCAACTCCATAATAATGGCCATGGTAGGAGAAGGTGGAAGGGGGAGGGGCAACTCCATAATAATGGCCATGGTAGGAGAAGGTGGAAGGGGGAGGGGCAACACCATAATAATGGCCATGGTAGGAGAAGGTGGAAGGGGGAGGGGCAACACCATAATAATGGCCATGGTAGGAGAAGGTGGGAGGGGGAGGGGCAACACCATAATAATGGCCATGGTAGGAGAAGGTGGAAGGGGGAGGGGCAACACCATAATAATGGCCATGGTAGGAGAAGGTGGGAGGGGGAGGGGCAACTCCATAATAATGGCCATGGTAGGAAAAGGTGGGGGAAAACTTAATATTGGGCGTGGTAGGAGAAGGTGGTGGTGGTGGTGGGGGGGGGGCAACTCCATATTAATGGTTATGGTTAAAGAATGGGATGTCCGACAAGATTATAAAGGTGTGATGATCACAGTTACATAGTTCCATAGTTAGTCTGGCTGAGAAAAGACAAAAGTCCATCCAGTTCAACCATTAAAAAAAAAAAGTTCTAATCCTACACCCACAGTGGATCCAGAGGAAGGCAAAAAACCCAGCAAAGTACGATCCAATCTGCTCCTGCAGGGAAAAAAATTCCTTCCTGACCCCCCGAGAGGAAATTGGATATTCCCGGGATCAACTTTCCCTATAAATGTTAGTATCTTAAAGGCAAAGTACAGAACAATGTATCAGTACGAAAGGACATTTGTGCATCCAGACCTCGATACAGAACTTATGAATCAACTATACATACTGTAGATCCAATACGGGAGTCACCCCACAGAATCTCTCAACATGAGAGTTCAAATGGTGAAGCGCTTTGGTGCAAAGTTGAGGGGAAGAGGAAAACGGAAGTGGGCCCAATGGAGCTTGGGAGGTTGAGATAAACCCCAAATCGGTGAGGTATCGGTGAGATGAACCCAAAACATAAAATAAGCAATTAGTGATTAGAATGTTCCATTCATAAGCCTACCCCCCTTAAAAAAGGAGGGGGGGGGGTGGAAGGTCAGGTCTGGCTACAAAAACATCAAAAAGAACTTGATATATTCAGAAAATCAAGGGCTCTGGGTAGTGACCGTAACAATGTAAATACAGGCGATGCACTTCATATGAGGAGAAATGGAGAAGAGTGAGCATACTAAGAAAGAAAGGAGGGGAGGAGGGGAGGAGGCCTAGATTTGCATGTTTGAGGGAACTTCGGCCAACCCCCAGGCAGGACGCCGGGCATGGTTGTAACGGAACCAACCCAGTCTACGCTTGAATATTTCCGTTATAGTACCGCTTCCCCGTCCGAACACCGACCACTGACACCACAGCCGACCATACAGGACTAGATGACACCAGACTTGAAGGAAACCAGGAAATAGACTAGTTTATTTGAACACAGATACAAGATATATACACTCAGGGGACAACCCCCCCCCCCTCCCTGCATAATGACACAGGGCGGGACAATCCCCCCTCCCTGCATAATGACACAGGGTGGAGCAATCCCCCTCCCTGCATAGTGACATAGGGCGGGGCAATCCCCCTCCCTGCATAATGACACAGGGCGGGGCAATCCCCCCTCCCTGCATAATGACACAGGGCGGGGCAATCCCCCCTCCCTGCATAATGACACAGGGCGGGGCAATCCCCCCTCCCTGCATAATGACACAGGGCGGGGCAATCCCCCCTCCCTGCATAATGACACAGGGCGGGGCAATCCCCCCTCCCTGCATAATGACACAGGGCGGGGTAATCCCCCCTCCCTGCATAATGACACAGGGCGGGGCAATCCCCCCTCCCTGCATAATGACGCAGGGCGGGGCAATTTACCTTTAGTAGCAAGAGACACACCAACAGACAGTCCCATCAGGAGGGAGGGCTGCTGGAAACACCCCCCACCAAGCCAATACACAAACACATACATCCCATAATAGTTTGCTCCCAAGCCAGACAAACAATAGAACAATGGGATGCAACCACATGGCAGTACACAATCCACAACCCCCCACCCAATATTAGGACAGATCACCCTGTACCCCTAACAGGCACAGGGGGACTTACACATAAGAAGGATATGGGGAGCTGAGACAGGGGTCTCCCCACCTCTCCAAAGTGAGCTGTGTTCCATGGGCCCCCCACCCAAAGTGAGCTGTGTTCCATGGGCCCCCCACCCAAAGTGAGCGTGTTCCATGTGTTCCATGGGCCCCCCACCCAAAGTCACTCTCATCGCAATGGTGGCTAAGGGAAGCTCTTAAATATGGCAGAGCCTGAACAGCAGGGGCCGTTATGAGAGTCGGCTGGAAGATGGAGTCAGCCCCTGCTGAAACGAGGGCGGTACAAGCCCAAGTGTGAATTCAGGATTACAAAAAAACAGGGACTGAAGGGGTGTGAGAAGATAAAAATGTATGATTGCCCAATCTGTCCCAGATGGCTGGATAAGACAAGGCATACTATAGGAGGATGTCATCTATTGGGAAGTTACATCAGAGAGCCAGTTGTGGAAGGACCACAGGAGAGGACTTCAGTAGTGATCCACAGAGGTTCAGGGTCTTTGGCTGTAGAGTAAGAGAGCCGTGTTATTTGGGCAGCTTGAAAGGCCTGGAGGGTAGGAAGTCCCAAGCCACCGCCACATGGTTT